AATACATTATAACCCTTTATATTTTGAGGAGTTTGTCTATTTTTTGTTGGAAAATATTATCCAAGTTTCAGGAAATTTATCCCCAAACAGGCATACACAAAAAATGGTGGAAGATGTCTACTGAACAGCTGTTTTACTTTTCATTGACAGAGTACTGTTCTAACATTAATCTTTCTTCCACTTCCACAGTACCACAAGTTCCTACTCTCTTTTAGATTGTCTTGTACCTGTAGTAATTCCTAAAAATCATTCAACAACAGGTGGTCTTATCACTTAGCAGTCACACAGCTGATTACAGACAGCAGGTCTCTCTTAACTCAGGTTCATGGAAGCTGCCACTAGACTCAAAAATAGCCCTTCCCCTCTTCTCCCAAGCCCAAACAGTGAACAATGGAAAGCACAGTTCCCATATGAATGGCCTTCTTTTTTCCCCTAGATGCTGCTTGCTGAGGAAAAAAAAAAACAAAAGAATTAAACTTCTCTCATGTTCCAGAAACGCTGCATGAAAAACTGTATTAATCTGAAGTGTAGAATTCCAGGAACTTTTGATAATCTGAATGTGGGCACATTACACTACTATCCACTTTAAATGCCATTCATGATCACTACAAGAGCGATGATTCACTTTAAAAAGAGGAACCACACATTTATAAAGTCAATTTAAGACAAGAATACTCACTTTTAAAAAACACGTATTTGCTCACCTTTGAAAGACTCTTATTTTCTTGTCTGATTGGATATGTTTGCTCAGAAGATTCACTGACTATTCCTGAACCATTATAGTGGGTTGAGTTCTTAGAATGATATTGTGAGCCAGCTACTGGATAGGCATTTGCCACAACATCAGGTGGGTAAGAGGAGCTGGAGTATTCACGGAATGCAGAATCTCCCAGACCACTGTGTGATGGACATTGAGAAAGAAATTAAAGTCATCCTGGTGCAGGTCTTCAGCATCTACTTGTTGCCTAGACAAACACATCATTCCTTGGCTAAAGAATTTGTTTAACCTTGGCTAAAGAATATAATTTAAAGTCTAAAGAGTTTGTTTAACAAGAAAGCTCTATTTCAAAAGAAAACTATTCCATGTTATTTCACTTAAGCATTTACTCACTGCTACACATCTCTTTAAAAATAATAAATTTTGTCTTGTGAAAACATGCAGTTGAGCAAATGTATTAAAGTACAGAAGTTATCAATTTCCACGTTTCAAAGCAAGTCTGCTTTGAGGTTATAGTTCTCATGTGCCTGTTTCAGGGTACCAAGATTCTTCATATTTATTTTCAGTAGGCTTTTTCTTGTGAAACAAACCAAAAGCACAGTGTAATGACAGGACATGAGTCACACAGTTGACTGCAAAAATATAAACGTTAAAACCTATCTTAGAATGCCATAATAACAAAGTAGGAGTATATCACTTTATGGAGTACAAAACATGTTTGAAATATGACGTAGACTTGTAAGATAATAATTAACCGACCTGCATTTAACCACAACAATTTATGAAAACACAACATCTGGGGCATGCCTCTTCCCTTCAAACATATGCTCAAAAGTTCCCTTTCACTTTCCATCCACACTTAGTCCAGAAAATATATACTGAGTCCAGATTTGATTAGGGAAAATGGAAATTTCTGAGGTTAAGAAAGCTGCATTTAGTTTTTAAAGCTGTTCACTATGAAGTGGCCAGCCTTGGAATTCTGGGTAGATAATGACAGAGAAACTTTCCCATCAGAACAGAAGACTTCAGATAACACATTTCATACTGAGTGTTGCAATTCTGATATACTGTAGTCAAAACAATGCTTATAATCAATTTATACAGAGAATAAACGTTAAATAAGACTCAAAAATATAGCTATGTCCCAGCTCCAACAAGGCAAAACATTCATCAGAATACTGCTGCTGGTTTTTTGTTGTTTTTTTTAATATGACTTGATTTAATGCTAATGCTGTGGTTTTCCCCTAATGCATACATCAGGCCATACTCACCTCAACATTATATCTATATCACAAATGAAAATAGGTTGAAAATACTGACATTTCCTGTAGGATAAAATGAAGGCCTACAATGACCATGTTTACTAAGGCTGTACTTGTAAGGACACACCAATAACTTTGTAGTAATTGGATAACTAATCCAATGCTTGGGGTCCTGAGAAGCAATGAGGGAACTCTGTAACACCATCAGATTCTTACAAGACTCAATTATTTCCCACCTTACTATGTAGCCTTTTTTCCAGTTTGCTCTGGATTTAAAAATACTTTTGTAAGTCTGTGTCTTTTCTTAGGCCCTAATTGAAAAAAAAAAAACCACAACAAAACCAAAAGGCAAACCAAACAAAAAACCCCAAGACTTTTAGAAACCCATAGCACTCTTACTAAAACTGCCTTTCTGGGGATGCATAGGTTGTGGAGAGGAGATCCAGGCAAGGCCCCATATATTAAATGCATTACAGCATGAGAAGCCTTCTTGAAGACCCCTTCTCTTCCTTTTATACAACTATATCTAGCCCAGCTCGGTGATAATGCAACCTTTCTTTCACCCAAGTACTGGATTCAGCTCCTTCCAAAGCACAAACGAGCCACATCAATCACTGGAGACCACCACATCCTCCTTAATGCTCTGTAACCACACAGGCCTTTGGGAGCAAGATACCAGACACACGCCCAAAGAACACTGATGTAAAAGCCTAAATCATGAAGACAATGCAGAAGCACTTCCACAGTTAGACTATTAACGTTATTGGAGCCTTGACTTCCGAGGAGTATTCAAAGTCCAAAACCAGAAGGTTAAAATCCCCCAAGAAATAAGATTCAGAAAATATACATACTTATCCAAAGATGGTTCCTGAACAAATGGGTAGCATGTAGTTAAGTACCTAGGAAAGACACATGCTTCTGAGGGTTCTGACCATGCCACAGTTACCGCCGCATGTTTTGGAACAAATGGTTTGACCTCTGCTGACAACTTGATGCCCTGAGAAACAAAACGGGTTTTGGCTACATGCATTTGGAGATTAATGTTATAAGTGAAAAATACTCAGTCTTGTGACCTTAAGTGTCATTGGAAAGTGTTAGTTTGCTCTCTTCTAACAAAACATGCAAAACAATAAACTCAACAAAAAGAAATGGAAGAAGAGGGTGAAAAAACCCCCAAGGAATTCTAAAGAAAAATGTGACCACTCTGAAAAGTTATTTAATACCTTCACTTATCGTGAAACACTCACACAGGTCAGTTACATAAAGGACAGAAGCTTGCTTAAGATAAGATGCAGTAAATGCAAATATGCAAATTCTTACTTCATATTTGAACAGTACAAGCTAAAATTCATAAATATACTCGCATTACTGCTAATCAAACTCCGGAAGTATGTAACAATCATGTCTTAGTGCACAACTGTACTTTAAGGCAGCCTGCCTAAAACGAACACTGCATTACACAGCCTTCTTGTTTCTGGCACAACACAGATTTATTAAGGCAAGTCTTCCATTTGTTCTGAATTACCATCGGGCTAAACTGGGTATGTATATGTGGAAGGACAACGACATGAGACTCGAGGTATTGACTGCCGTGTCATCAAAACAAGCAGGGCGCAGCTGTGCCCGCAGGCTGCTGTCTAAGACCTCCGAGCCTGACCGGGGTGCACAACGCCGCTGTCACCGCTTAGAGCCTGGGCACCCATCTTTAGAGCGACTGGGATGGCGACCTGCCCTTGCAGCACTCCCCAGCCCGAACAAGAAGAGCTTCCCACACTTAAACTCACTGGAAGTTACGCCTGGGGGTTCCCCATCCCAAGCGGTGGGAAGCGACTCGCTGTGCTCCAACCTAAGCGACCCCTCCCCCCGGTTCTGCCCTTCCAGAAGGACTCTTCTCCCTGTTCTGAACCAAAGGCTGATCCGAGGAGCCGCGGGAGGCACCCTGCCCGGGGAGGCGCACGGGCGGCCGGCGGGACAGACCCCGGGGCAGGGAGCGGCAGGCGAGCGCCGGGAAGAGCCGGGGGGGGAGCAGGAGACTGCGGGCGCCGCCGCCGCCCTTACCTCGCCGCCGCGGCCCGAGCGCGGCCGCCTCTCGGCCGACATGGCGGGGCCCGGCCCCGCCGCCGCCCCGGCCCCGCGCACGGCGCGCAGTGATGACGCCACGGCGCGGGCGGGGCGCGCGCGTGACGCCCGAGCAATGGGGGGGAGGGACGGCGCGGGAAGGGTCCGTGCTGAGGGAATCCCGTGGCACGGGGATGGACGGCAGGGAATGCGGGATCCCGTGGCACGGGGATGGACGGCAGGGAATGCGGGATCCCGTGCCACGGGGATGGACGGCAGGGAATGCGAGGCACACACCCGGGACCCTCCAAAGACACCAGCACGGCTTAGGCGGAGCTCAGTGGGATTCTTAGTGAAGGTATGACCCGGCCTGGTTCAGACCACCGTGACAGACAGCTCAGGCAGCTTTTAGAGGAAGGCCTACAAGGGTCCTTACCTCACCAGACTTTTCATGTTACTTACCTATGTCTGTCTCCACAACAAGCACACATGACACAGGGACAGCACATGCTTCGTCACTTAAGCCACATGCAGATGGATCCTGCTGTCACTGACCTTCCAACTCCTACACAGCTGTAATGCTAACTCGTGTTGGAAATGAACCCCTGGTACTGAGAGTTACTGAAACACAATAAACTGAAGCACCTTTTACAAAAACCAATCTAAGTGTATGGCTGCTAGTACAAGGTTCCAAGATGCCACAGTGACAATTTCAATGCAAGACAGGAAGTGCAGGCTAAAACCCCAGGGTAAAAGCTTGTGATAGAAAGTTAACTGGTACTAGCAGTTAACCAAACAGGCATAAAGACATCTCTGTGCGATATTAAGAAGTACACTACACAGAGTTTATACCAAGTAATCAGGGATAGGATCACCAAGTTCCAAACTAGGTACTCATAAAATGTTAGACAACAAATACTTGTTTTGACAGTAAGTTAGAACTCCAGGCATTGAGGCTTTATAGAATACAAAAAGCAGTTTATTTCTGAAGCCTACTTTCTCCTAAACAGAAGAACTAGTGGATTTGAATATACTAAGATACAGCAGAAAAGATGAGTGCAAAAGTCACTGAACACAGATAACAAGATCATCTAACCAGAATGTGCAACACAAACATGAATGCAGTTTAATTCAGAGAGGCACTTACATTGACAGTAAAGATAAAGTCATCCGCTCTTTTAACATTATAGCAGCCTACTTGAAATTTCACTTGACTGAGCTTTGTTGCTGTGAATAATACAGCTCATGCACAGGTTTGGATGTATGTTTTGTAAATTTAAAGTATTCACTGAATACTGCCAACATATATACACTCATATACATAGTTCCAGAAGATTGAAGAGACGATGGCTTATTTCTGCTCCGCCTTTTGGAGAGGTCTCCTGAAGAGCAGAATATGCGGTTCTGCGGAAAGAAAATTGAAAGCATCAGTCTGCCCCTCAAGTCTTGTTCGAAGGGATTTCTTTCATTTTGAAAGTTTGGGATGATAGTTGAAGCTTGCTATCAGATAAGTACATCAAGAAGCCCAAATATGGCTCCACATATAATATTAACAGACCAACTTTGCAGTAACCGTGTAACAGTTAAACAGGTGTTTTTTAGTTTTATACCAAATGGTAGCTGTATCATAAACTTAAGATACTTACAGGAAGGAAGTATTGGAAAAAATAGTATTTTTAGTTAGTACCAACTGTCTCTTTACATTAGGCTATTTGATGAACTCTTACTGAAAACTTAGACTACCAAATTAGGTAAACTGCCTGTTAGGTACATCATGTCAAGCATCAAAAAAATCCACTTTAGTTAATACAGCCAGCTTACATTATTATTGATATGACTTACACCTAAACACCTCCAGAAAAGTCAAAATTATCAAAGATAACAAGGTAAGGGAAACACTGGAAGGTTACATTAATTTCTTCACCTGATTCTTCAGAAACTTGGAACTCCAATTGCTGCTGCAGTTCACGTGTCACCTGTTACTTTTTAGTCAATGGTAAGTTACCTAAAAAGGCTCTTCTCACAGTACATCCTCATTCGTAGACTCTGGGGCTTCACACTCAAATAAAATACTGATTTTTAAGTAGGCACTACAGCTAGAGTTCAAACGGTACTGTAGATTTTTCAGAGCACTAATACAGGACCTTACCTACATAAGCATTAAGGTTATGTTGCCTTTGTTGACAAACAGCTAAAAGAGCAAGTAGATAAGCAGGAGCCTAAACATTCGGTATTTAATTTCAGCTGGATTCCACAGCAGAACGAGTTATGCATTACACACTTCAGCTAAGCACCAGGCTGCTAATGTTTTAGACACTTTTTTTTTCCACCTAATTCTTTTGGATGTGCTTACCTGGCTCATGGATCATATAGTGAACCCAGCCAAGACTCTGCTGAACACCAAGACGTCTCCACTCTTCTTCAGACATCAGATGAGATTTTGGCACTTGTTTTGAAAGTTCTCGTGGTAGCATCACATGTCTGTACAGATTCAATTATTAAACACACAATACTACAAAACTTGAACAGCTCTGCAGCAAAAGACAGCAAGCAAGTAATGAATAATTACTTTTCCTGTAAAAAAGCCTAGGGTATATGACTGTTACCACGAATTTGATTATGAAATCTGTCTCACAATCGAGTTTAAAATCACTTATGCCTATTAAACATTACATCCGTAATGCAATTACATATTGGAAGCCAACCTGCATTCTAGAGGAGATTAATTCTTCTTCACGCTCCAGTCACGCTGCATTTACATAAATATGCGTTCCTGGCAAGTGGCTGCCGTATCTGCTGCTTGAAAAAATAAGGACTTTGGACTTGTAAAATATTTGTAAATACCGCTTTAAAGTAAGCCTAAAACAGTTACAACTCCATCAGCAGCCCCGTCAGCAGAGGCCGGCACAGCCCCATCCCAGGCTCTGCCACAGCCCCCTCCCTGTGGTGGCGCCGCTCCGCGCCCTCCATCGCCCTGCGGCCGGGGCTCGCCGTAGCCGCTCGCCAGGCGATCGGGGCCAGCCGACAGCAGCAGTCGCTCACCCGTCCCCCCATTCCCCAGCCGGCCCAAAGCCACGCGAAAGCCCAGCACGGAGAGGCTCGGCTCGACACGGCCCTGCTCGCCGGCCCTGCTCCCCCCGTTCCCTGAAGGCGGCGGGCACGCCTCGGGAGAGGCGCCTGCCCGAGCCACCCTCCTCCGGAACGGCTCTCCCGAATCCCTCCAACGGGCCATCCCGCGGTCTCTTACCGGTACTCGTATTCCTCGTCACAGTATTTGTCAGAATAGTAGATCTGCTTGTTGGCCATGGTGGCAGAAGCGGCGGCGGCGGCAGCGGCAGCAGGAGCCCCTCTCTTTCTCCTTACGCCTCAGGGACGTCTCGCGCACTAACCGCCCGCTTCCGCGCCCCGTGCCATTTGAATCCGGCGGCTCGGCTCCCATTGGCTCTCGCCGGGGCCGGCCAATCGCGCGCCGCGCCCGCCGCGCCGCGTGACCCGCGCGCTCGCCTCCCGCGGCCAGTCCGCGGAGGCCGCGGCGGTTGCGTCACGGGGCGGAGGGGGGGGGGAAGGGGGGGGGTTGGGAGGGCGGCGGGGGGGCGGGGCGGGAGGGCGCGGGCGCGCCACGATTGGCCGGCGGCGGCCGGGGGCGGGGCGCGCGCGCCCTTCCAGCGCTTTCCAGCACGCGGGAGGGGGGGAATCTTTAGGGTCCTGCGCATGCGCGGCTCCTGTGGAGTTTGGGGGTCCCTCCGGCCCCGTCCCGGGTGCCCCCGGGGCCGAGACCCCTCCGTGCGGCCTCATGCCGCCGTGGGGAGCGCGGTGCCCCGCTTGCCGCCTGGCTGTCGTGAGCCCGCTCCGTCTTGGGCTGTCGCGCTTCGCGCGCGGCGCTCGCTCGCGGCGCGCACGGACCGGCCGCGGGGCCGCTCGGGGCAGCGTGGGCGCTGCGGGCGGGCGGGCGGCTTTCCCGGCGTGCAGGCCGCCTTCCCCAGCGGAACGGCGCGGCGAGCGTTTCCCTGGGGAAAACGTGCCTGGCATCTCGCCAGGGTTTGAGAAGGATCTCAGTAGCTCCCGGGATGTGTTTTTGGGTGATGTTTATGCCAGCTGGGGTTAGATAAGTTAGATAAGTGGGGATATGGCCAGGAAGGGCGATTTCACGGTTGCTTTCAGAGAACCATAAGGAGTGGGAGGCGACCTTGAAGATCATCTCCCTCACTAGGTCAGGTTGCTCAGAGCCCCATCCAGCCCTGGCCTTGAGCGCTGCCAGGGATGGAGCATCCACAACCTCCCTGTTCCTGTGCCCCACCACCCACACAGCAAAGAATTTTTCCCTGATATCTAACCTAAATTTGCTCTCACGCTCCATGTACCCTGACTGCAGTGTGCTGCTCTCTCGTTGGGCCTCTGCAAGAAAAGGAAACTAGTTTTTTTAAGTTTCTTCTTTCACGGTGCTGCCAGAAACACAAGTACTGCCTGTGATAATGTAATGCATCTGTCTGATAGCTGTTTTAATGGAGAAAAAACCAACCAAGGCTGTGTGAGGCATGACATGTGTAGGTAATAGGGATGATTTTCTTAGCATCATTGTTTCAATTGGCACTGCAGCCTGTCTTAATAAAGTTTAGGCCAGTCTCACACCTTACAGCCACTAAAAGGAGTGCTTATCATAATGTAGTAGTAATATTTTTCTCTTATATTAGGGCTTGTTGGCAGAGGTCATCTACAGGTAAAATGAAGTCAGTGTTTTCAAACTGCTGTAGTTAAACGTGTGAAATTCATTTAGCAAAGGTCCTCAGCAGGAGTGTCAATTCCAGTATAATTGTAAAAGTACAAACCACCTGCAAGTTTTCAAAAGTATTGATTGGATTGTTCAAAACAGAGGGATTTGGGGTTTTTTTAGCTTAATTTCAGGCATCACAACTGATTTTTTTAAAATACTTGAGCCAGAGGATACACAATAATTTCTGTTAGGAATGTCATTGTGTAATAATGGGGGGAAAAAAGAGTAACTCATCATGACAAAGGGGTTTCCTGGATTGGAAGACGTTTCATTTCTGTGCCTTCTTTCTGAGCTTTCTGCTTATCTCATACATATTCCACATGAGGAAAAATTGACCTTCATATAGGGCTATGTGTAAGCCTTCCTCCTATGAATTCATTCAGAAGTGAGGGTCTGGCATCTCTTTAAAGCAACTTTTCCTTCTATTACTAATACTCATAATGATACCTGATCATAATTTTGAAGAGGATTAAAAGGATTCTTGGGTAGATATGTGTTCAATCTTATTTGAGATCCCTCTGATTAATTTGACAGTCCTTGTTCCTCAGGACTGACCCAAGTGTGTTTGTAAGGCAACTGGCAGAGCTGACAAAACTAACATATTGGTTTTAATAATCCAGGATTAGGAGATCTTATTTAGTATCCGAGTGTCATTTCAGCCTCTTCTTTCATCAGTTCTTTTCCCAGACAGGACTTAAAAGCACTGGTGAATGATAAATAATGCAACAGTACCAGGAACTTGTTAAGTTCCGCTATTAATTTGCTATCTTTTTTCTTAAAATGAAAACATTAGTGTTAGGGATATAATTTGTGAAGTTACTGGAAAAAAGTAATAAACTTGCTAACTGGCTAAACTTGTTAAACAGTTAAGCTTGATAATCATTTCCAGGCACATGAACAACAAGAAAAGCATCAGGAGTAGTCAGTATGGATTCACCATGACATCTTGACCAACCTGATAAACTCGTGTGATGAAATGGTCCGGCAAAGCCAGGGGGAGAGCAGTCATTATTGTTTGCCTAGGCCTCAGTGAGGCTTCTGACTCCAGTAATACCTTCCTAGAGAAGCAGTTGATGCATGGGGTGGATGTGCAGGCAGTGCAGTGAATGGCTTGTCCCAGAGCGTGGTGATACGTGGCACAAAGTCTAGTGAAGGGCCAGTAATTAGAGGCGTGTCCCAGGGGTCAATACTGGGCCTTTTCAGCATCTTGGTTAGTGACCTGTGCAATGGGGCACAGTGTCCCACCAGCAAGGTGACGCCTTGGAACCGGGTAACCAGTAACCAAGTAACACCAAGTAACTGAGGAACCAGAGGGTTGTGCTGCCAGGCGGATGAACTGCAGAAATGTACTGAGAAAAACCTCGTGAAGTTGAAGAAGGGGAAGTGCAAAATCCTGCACTGGGGAGGAACAATCACAGGCACTGGTACATGGTGGGAAACACCCAGCTGGAGACAAATTTTCAGAAAAGGCCCTGGGAGTTTCCTGATGAACACTGAATTGGATGTAAGCCAGCACTGTGTCCTTGAAGCAAGGGAAGCTGAGTGCCCTGGGCTGCATTAGGACGAGTGCTGCCAGCAGATTGAGGAAGGTGATCCTGCCCCTCCATTCAGCACAAGTGAGGCTGCTGCTGGAGTACCATGCCCAGCTCTGGGCTCCCCAGTGCAGGAGCAAGTTGGTGCTGCTGGAAAGAGTCCAATGAAGGCTAAAAACATGAAAACAGTGTGAAAAGAAGACCAGAACCAGGCTCAGTCCAGTGGTGCCCAGTGACAGGTCTACAGGCAGTGGGCACAAACTGAAACATGGGATGTTCTTTGTGAACATCAGGAAGCCTTTTTTACTGTGAGAGTGATGGGACACTGGCAGAGGTTACCCAAAGAGCTACTGCACTCTCCATCCTTGGACATCTTCCAAAGCTGTCTGGACACAATCCTGGGCAATGGGCCCTAGGTGGCCCTGCTTGATCAGAGATGTTAAACCAGATGGCCTCCATAGGTCCACCCTCAGCCACACTGTGTGGTACTGTGTGAAACAGGGCTCTTCAGCATTTCCATCAGAATACTGTTACACACAAAGGCTGTGTCAGTCACACTGCAAAGAAGGGAACAAACTGTTTTGTAACCAGTGTGGAGAGAACAAAAATGCTTGAACTTTAGCAAGGCAGCTTTGTGCTGGACCTTAGGAAACATTTCCTACGAGTACCTAATTTATTGTCTAGAACATTTTAGAAAAAAATACATGCTGCAGGAATATTTTAGGTACAACTGATCCTGTCTTTGATCAGTTGTTCCTTTGCGGCCTGCTTTCTGTTGTTGTGTCAGTTATGCTTTCCCATTGTAACATTTGCCAGTATTGACTGTAGAACAAAAGTAATTTTTTTTCTCTCCAATGCTCTAGAATGATGTTTTAATTTTAATTGTAATATGTTTTTTTAAAGAGGTTAGTTACTGAAATTAGGATTGTTAGGTGGTGAATCGACATCCTGACTGAGGATTCTGAACCAGGTCAGAAGTGAATGAAACCACAAATACCTATATTTATTAAAGAGAAAAGCTGCTGACAAGCTCCTACCATACACTCATCCCTCAGCATGTCAAAGGCATGTATGAAATCATATTTCAAAGTTTGCCACAGTGCAGACTGAAAAGGATTCTGCATAGCCTTAGAGGCATAGGTCTGTTAGAAGAAACATGAGACAGCTGCTCAACTGGAATGTAAACTCCTTCTTGGAGCCCTGATTAGGGCAGTTTTAGTCTGATTAGGGCAGTTGCTGTGATTCAGTTGCTGCTGAAACACAAGATAAAATAGCAAAACACAGGGAGAATATTGTTGAGCTTCTGTCCCTGTCTCCTGTTGCTGTTAACGGGCATGTATAATTTTGAACATCAGTATTCTGCACTCCGTTGGAGAACAACATGACTGTAGTCAGCATAGAGGCTCTTTAGGACTAAAGATGGACTATGGACATTACTGGGGGGGATGATCTCATGTACCTAGACAGAAACAGACTTAAATCCTCTGTATAACCTGTTACTTGTGACCAAGGCCATCCACAGAGGTATGTGGGCCATGATAAATAAAGATCTGTTACAATGAAGGGCCCATGTGCACCTTACTGTTGCATATACAGAGTTCAGGATGTAAGTTGTGGTAGATGAAAATATTTTCTGTGCTTTTTGTCAGAAGGGGAAGATGCAAGTTTTCCCATCTGTGTTGTACATAGCAGTCTCTGACTGACATTTTCTGCAGATTTTTCTGGTTAGTTCTATTAGAAATTTGGGGAAAAAAATAAGTTATATGTACTTTTACTGTGCTTCAGTTTTCAAACATGTCCTTGTAAAACACTAACGTCAGATGCTTGAATGTATTTTTCTGAATAGAACAGCAAGATCAGAGTCGAGGAACCTTTTGTACTGTCTTCATGAGTCATAGTCATATATACAGTTAATAACTTGTGAATAATCTGAGCATGAATCACATTCGTAGCATATATTGATGAACCGTTATCTATGTTTTTATATTTTCAATGTTTCTTAAACAAGGCTTAAAGAAGCAAGGCTTAAGCAATCATACTCTTCATCAGTTTTGATGCTTAATTTTGAACCTATTGGCTGGTTTGGTCAAACTTAACAGAAATGTTGATAAATT